ACAAAGTTAATCACTGCCAGTCCCAGATCTGGACCATGATGCTTCGTACATCCACTTATATTTTAGTCACAACCAGCATTGAAGAGAATGAGGTCACACCACCATATGTAATATGGGCCTTGATACTGCAACATGCAGGTATACTGACAGGCAGCTGTAGCACTGATGTAAGGTTATTTATGGACAGCTTCTTTCTGAAGCTTGATGAAATACCTTACTTGTTACATGACTGCAGTTAGCACCATGCTGGGATGTTATTCATCAATAAGCACATAAGGCAGCCTTCTTCCTTGTAAAAACAAACCCTGTGCTTCCCTTTAGTCATGCTCAGCTTCTGAAAGCTGATATTGATAAGCATACTTTAAGTGGCTTTTCTCTTGTGCAATACACCACTGAAAAAACAATAAAAGTCTCTTCATTTTACTTTTTAAATTAAGTAACTCCTTTTTAATCAGCTTCCCTGGCATTCATATTTCACAGCTGGGCCCCTTTATGAAGAGATGCTAAAATCCATGCCCAGTACACCTGGTGCAGGGTGACAAACTCAACCTGTCATAGGAGGATTACGACCAGCCAGAAGGAAAGACATCCCCTCTACAGGGAACTCAAGACAAAGGTTATTAGCAGAATGTTACAAACTCCTCCCTCTGTTCTCCTAACTCAGTTCTTGTCTGAACTTTTACCTTCCCAAAGACTGAGATGCAGAGAGTTTTAGGACGCGAGAGCATGTCCTACGTGAGGACAGCTCTGATAGTGATCAGGAGTGACTTACTGACATGTAAGAAGCAAGGGTGGAAGAGATGGGGTGCAAGGAGCCAACTCCTTTCATTACAAGGCTTCAAGCTGCAATACAACATGTGAACCACCAATGGTCCCTAGGTGACCTGTGAGGACATGACTGCTGTCATGACTCCTGCTGTGTAATGCTGAAAGGAGAGGCTTTGTATCTGAACATATCTTGTAGTTCATGCTACTAAATCACCTGGCAAAGTACCCTACAATATCTTTTTGAGAATGAGTAGAATGGGAATCATATTGAAACTGTGCCTTGTTAGATCACTCAAGACTTCTGGTAAGAAGCCGTGCCTGACATCAGATCTGGCAATATCTCCACAGTCACTGATACACAAGTAGATTCTGCTTCCACAGGCCATGGTGGAACTGTAGCACTGCACAGGAATCATATGGGTCTTTTACCTGCTGACCTTCAGGCTTCTGGGAGGTGGGTTTCAAAATCTCAAGATTAAAGTGTTCAGTTTTCACAGAAACTAACTTAGTGTCATGTGCCAGAGTCCCTTAGAATAAACTCACCTTCCTTTTCGAAAGGGCTTTTGGAGACCCCTCCACTCTTCACGACATCCATACTTTAAAATCTCAAAACCACTATGAGGTAAAGACCTCTCTCAAAGTTTCTCCATGGCTGTTCTAATGGCCAGAGGGACTTGAGGTACAAAGCTGCTTTGAGGTATTTTAATTACCCCACTCTGTGTGGATAGAAGCGGCCTTTAAACTTCAAGTGCTTAAATACCCCTCATCTGCTATGGGACCCTGACCACCACATGCAGCAAAATAAACCTCTGACAGAAGTTCCTGCAGAATACTGGCAGTTTTCTACATTCCCTGCCCTACACAGGCAATGTTAGCAAATACAGCCTATACCACCAGCCTTCTAAAGTGGGGGGTGAGGAGAATCAATCACTTCTAATGTACAATTGATAAGCAGATTCCTGATCTTACTGTATCCTGATTTATATGAAAACAGCTATTTGGCAACAGATAGATTATCATGTCCAGTAATTATCAACACTGAACAGATTCATTTTCAGCTTTATTTGCAATGCTGCTTTTTAAGCCTATAAAATTAAGTTACAAACATAATGAGACCACCAAGGTTCTGTTAATCTCATTACATCTCCCTCTTAGAAGCTATTTTCAGCATCTTTACAGCAATTCTGTCTTAGTAATTGCAGAGTTTAGCATCAGCAACCTTACCTTTTCCTGAGTTACTGCTCAAAATGGCTCCACCTGCATCTCACAACCATAGATCACAATCTCAATAAGCAATTGCCATCCTTCTGTGTAGCAACAAGGCCCTGACTCAAAATACAGTGGAGGCTTTGGCATGATTTGGTGAGATCCCTGAAGGTGGGATTTGCAAGGCAGCCTATGTATTCCAACAGCTTCCCAGGCAACCAGTTACTACTGTAAATCCAAGCCTGGATGGAGACTGCACTCCAAATTCCCACTTGCTTACTGACCAGCCTGTTCAGGATTGCCTCTCACACATGCTCACTCTCATACCAGATTGTGTGCAGAACAGTACACAAACAACTATTTGCAAAGCTCTCCCAGAGCCTCTCTGATGCTGAAGCAGCTGCAAACACAATAGTAAGCATGGAATTTTAAAAGGGATTCATATACCCAGTTCTCACTTCAGTCAATGGGATTAAGCACCCAAAGCACGCTTTATCCCACAATTAAAACCCCAAAGGGTCCACAATTTAACATATTAGCCCTTGCATTGTAGAAGAAGAGATACTAATTCTAGTATGGGCCTGGGTTCCTAAGTCCTCATGATTTGTAATGTACTTCTCAGCTCGTGGTGGAACAGTTTGCATGCCCAGCTAACAGGGCACAAACTTAACTGCTGCTCTGTACACATCCATAGACAAACCAGCTAATACCAGTAATATTAGATCCAGGGTATTCCTGACTTGGTTTCTTTTTGAAATCTAGAAATATCTTCTGGAATCACCTCAACAAAACTAGGCCTGAATACAGATTATCACATCTTTTTGTGAGCTTTCCTGAAACTTAAGGAAATCAACCATTCTTTTTACTAGTTCTTCCATTTGAAAATGCCCACAATATAGTAGGTCTAACTTCTCAATCCTGTCTTTGTAACACACAATCCTCTGATCAGAGTACTGTTCAGACTACATCCAGCTCAACGCAGCTCATTTTACAGCTCCAACACTGTACCTAAGGAGCCATGGGGATTCCCCAAGGATGATGTTGAGATGACAGTCCTTCAAAGGCCTGGAAAGGTGCATGGTATAGAAAAGGTCCCCAGATTGATTGTTTAAAAAGACTGGATGATCCCCAGAGCAAATAGGGAGCAGTTACCACCTGGAGCATACAGCCTTGGGGCCACAGAAGAATTTCTCACCTTTGTTGAAACTTCTGCAATTAAGTTCTGATTATTTGGATCTGCAAATTCCACGGGTTGACCTTCAAATTCAATCTTCCCAAGTAATGTGCCCTGTGGAAATACACCAGTCAATAACAAAGCATGAACAAAGGAAAAGCTGTGAACACTGGAACAAGGTGCTGACAGGCACAGCAACAGAAACAGCTGTTTAGAAATGGCTTCTTGGTGGCTTTTAACCATTTCCAGCATCTTAGACAAGTTTATGAGCCTTCCTTGTTACGAAAAAATCTGTTTAAAATCCTTCATTCAGGGGAGAGGCATTGTCAGCAGTAGCATTTGTTAATAGGCAGCCTGGCAAGCTGTCTAGTGAGTGTGAAATGGGTTGCCTTCCAAGAGGGATTAGAATTCAGATCCCCATATAACTGTTGCGTAGATCTGGGAGTAATCCACAAAGCAGTTTGAAGCTTTCTGGTTTTGGAAACCCACTGTGAGGTCTTCAGCCACCTCCTGTGCACAGCCACAAGGAAGCAGAGCTGGTGTGAGGCAAAGTTGTGCAGGAGGCAGGTCTGCACAGCTGTTTTCTGAAGAAACTGCTTAAAAATATCACCTCCAGCAAGCTCTACTCTTTATTGCTGTTGCCACCTCACAGAAGCCAGGCCACTCTTGCTCTGCCAGCAGCATATCCTTCTCCACCTTCTGCTCATTCAAGTTCTCCATGGAAGAAGCCCTGGTTTGGCTTTGCCCCTCTCCTGGAATAAGTGGGATTAACGTAGGGCTAACCTCTTCTCAGCATGGGGACAGGGTATGCAGTACAGAACTTTTCAAGGATGGAAGAGGAAAGTAACACAGAGGAAGTCAATGTTTTGTTGTAACTTTTAGCTTTCATGATAAAAGATGTTAGCTCACCCCATGGACATCACGCTAGCATGCACACTCATTGGATTACTCTTTGGGTTTGATGATACTTCCATGAGATACTGCCATCATTTGCCATACCTGAAGTATCCTTGTCAGGGCCAAAAAGAGCCAACATTGCCATGCACACTACTAAGGGTAAGTTTTAAAGACAGTTCATATCAGAGGCCAACATCCTACCTTGTCTTGAGTAGCACCTTATACCAAAAGCTACTCCAGGCTGCTTTGTGTGGACCAGAGCTGAAAAGCCCAGCACCACCTTAAACAAGTCAGGTTCCTGGGACCCACAGAAGCTGATGAGAGCCACGATGCACCCAATAAACACTGATGACAAAGCCCTAAAGCCCTTGTGCTCAAAGAGGAACACCATGTCTCAATTTGCTTACAGGTTATTCAGCCAAACGGTGCCCTGCATTTATCTTTAGAGTCCAATTTAACAAGTCACTGCTCATTTCTGTATTTATCATAACAAAGCCCTGTTCTCACCCCCCATTTGATAAACAGGCATGGAGTGAAATACTAAGCTGTTTGTTTCAGACTGGGAGAAAAGGCTACATTATGCACTATGTTAAAAGCCATCAACCAGTACCACTCAGAGGCCCAGTATAAAGGTCATTACTCCCATACACTGCTAAGTTACAGGATAAACATTGAAAGTGTTTTCACTTTGGATGAAAGGAATGCTGATCCATTAAACAGTATGTCTCCAGAAAGCAGAAAACATATTGCCATTTTCTACTGTATTAAACTGCACTTGTCTCCTGTCTGTAAGAGCAGGACAATGCCCTGTCTTCCTGCAAGAGCTCATTTCTACTAGTCATCTATTGAAGCTAGGTCATTCATATTTTGCTCTGTGGAATGAAAGGGGGTGTGGGGTTGGAATTCATGCTGCAAACTGATCACCTACAGAAAGAGCAGCTTTAAATAATCCATTACAAAAGAAGAGCCTCCAAGGCACGTTTACATTCAGGCTGGCTTTGATCACTCTTTTAGCCAGTGTGAAATGTACCTTAACATTAACCTCCACTCAGAAACATAATCCTGCTCGTGTCCTTCAATTGTCAGCTCTTGGAAACCAGAGAAAAGTAATGACTATTAAAAATAATAACAGGCTTCAGCCTAAGTTAGGGAGCCAGATCAGTTTATTGTAGGCCTTCTTTTGTCTCTGAGGAGCAGGAGTATGTCCACTGACCAAAGGTGCCGTGACCTAATGTCCACAATCCCTCACAGAATTGTTGCTTTCTCTGACTATCACCATCTGAGGCAACATACAGTTGACACTGCTACCTATGGTGTTTGACATACTAGTCAGACACAGCTATGTGAGGCCTTTCATTTACATCAGCTTGCAATGGTTCACTTATGTGGAACAGAAAACCCAGAGCAGAGCCAAGAAGAGGAGGCTCCCTGGGATCTGCTCTACCTCAGACCATTGTGTACAGAAGACAGAGAGCCTTTGGAAGGGCACAGGCCACAGGAAGAGCAGCATCTGAGGTCAAGGCAGCCCAGCAGTAACACTGCTGTCCCAGGTTTGCTGCTCTGATAGAAAAAAGGCCTAGCAGTAGCAAGGCTAACACACTGGATCAAGGGAAGCAGATCATACCTTGTCACGAGTTAATTTGGACAGCATTCTGGTATCAATCCCATACAGTGCAGGCACCTGAAGAAAACACAGAGAGGGTGTTAAGGTAAGTCAGAGAAAAAGCAGCTAAGACAGAGCAAGAACAGAAGCAAGCGGCAAGTATCAATCTCATTTTTGAGCCCCATTTTGCCTTGCTTACAAGCACCTAACCCTCCCAGCCATCCCAAATCAGTGGTAGTCTACCAACACATCCTTGACCCCCTTGGCTTCAAGTCAGTGGATTCTGGCAGCTAACACCTCTTGTGGTTATGAACACAACAGCACTACTAGGAGCAGCTCTACAGAAACAATTGTTAGAATGCTAATGTGTGTCGTTTTCATGGAAAAGCAAACATTCCCATTTAATTAATATTCCTTCTAGACAGAACTTCGAAATACCACTGCATCCTGAAAAAGAGAAACGGATAAAAAAAATCAGAGAACTAAGGAGCATAGAATGAGCCCAGTACAGACTGGGAAAGATGTCCGAAGAGTGGTTACTAGCTCAAAACCAGCAGTTCTTTCCCCTGTTCCCCTACACACAGCTCTGTTCTCATCATGTAGTTACTCCTAGTTTACTCACCTTTTCTTCCTGCAACCACTCTCCCAGGCTCCTAGCAGCCTGCCAGTGGCCGTACTCATTGCTGTAATCCAGCACCAGCAAACCTGAAACCTACAGAGAGAGAAGAAATGTCATTTTGCACTGAAGGATCGCTCTGTTCTTGCTCTGCACCTCCTGAGTTTTCATTGTTCATCCACTGTAAACCATATCATGGACAGGACACAAGGCTAGGCATCGTATGGCTGCTCTTCTACAACAGAAAGACAGCAAATTTGAGTCTTCACAGTGGGAGTGCAATGAACAGGTACCTTGCAAAGGGCTAAAGACTTCATGTTCTGTCATGATTGCCAGCTTGGACAGAGCCTTGGGTGACACGGTCTAGTGGAAGGTGTCCCTGCCCATGGCAGGGGTTTGGAACTGGATGATTTTAAGGTCTTTTCCAACCCAAACCATTTTATGATTGTACCCGGGCCTTTTTACTTAGGAAATTCATAGCCTAATGTGGCTTCCAGGTAACCAAAGCTGCAAACTGCATGGAACTGAGAAAACACTTCTCGTTAGAAAGAAAATGGAAGTTTAAGACAAGACAAAAAGTCTTATTTTGATTCATTTTTTGTTTAAGAAAGCTTTTCACTTTTAAGTCACATTTCATTTCAAACGTCAGCTCCATTTTCCACTGGAGTTAGACAGTCATTTCACCTCAGGTTCTGCAATCACTTGGTTTTGCTCCATTTTTCAGTACTGCCACCACTGCACAGACACAGCCCTGCTCCTAGCCAACATTCCCTGTTACCAGAGAGTAAATACCGGTTCCTGCACTACTGCATACAGTCCTCTCCACACAACTGTCACCTCCCCTGTTTGTGGCAGTGCAGACATACAGAGAAAAGTCTCAGCATGCAGAAGCTTCTCATTCTCACTGATGTTTGATCTCTCTGTGGCAACCAGTTGTTGGCAAACACAAAAGGAAAGGTGGAAAAAAAAAGCCATCCAGGACAGCAGTTCACGCAACTGTAGCATGTCCATCACTGATGGAAAATACCCTGCTTTCAGACAGCACATGGCCTGGCACAGAAAGCAAGATGGATTATCTTTTCCACCTCTCCTCCAAAGAACACTATCCGGAAGAACAAAATGAAAGGCTGAGTATCACTGATTCCTTCTCACTTTTATGAGGCTGGCAGTAAACTCTTGCACGCACACACACACACACTCAGGCTGCTAACACCACTCTTTGATCAGGTCTGTGTGTTCCACTGTTACCTTGATCCCATCAGACTCCAGGAACCTCCTGAGACCCATTTCATCCAAAGCAGCTGTGTCAGGCACTCCACCATTCCCGACTATGGGGTTAGCTAGTGTAAGAATCTGTCCTCTGTAACTGGGATCTGTCAAGGCTTCAGTGTATCTAGATGAAGAAGCAATAGAAGAAAAGTACCTTGGTTGAAGTTGAAAGAAAAAAAAAAAACCACTGAAAACAAGACAGGTCTGAATTCCCATATGACAAAAAGTCAGAGATGGTATTTGTGTGAAAGCAGTCTCAGTATAAAAGCAAACACATCTGTGAATCTGTTCTGAATTTGCCGTCTGTGATTAAACATTTGACACTGAGAACAAAGCAAGGCTTTGGCTTCTTATGTTTCATTTAAGAAAAGCACAGGAGCTATTAACAAACTCCAACTCCTCGTGATTTAACATAAGGCAAACAACTACACAAAGCACAGAGCCGCCACAGAAGTGCTGGAAGTGCACGGGCCATCACTTCACCCACAGATAACAGCTTGGGCTTGGTCATTCCCTGCATGGGGGTAGTACTTTGTCACTGCTGTGTTCTTCCCTCCATGTAGTGTAAGAACTTACCCCTCTCAGCAGCAATAGAAAGCTCAAACTGAAAAGCCAACAGACAACAGAGCTGTTTGCCCAGAGCTGGTCCCTTCCGCTGTCTGGAGCTTGTAAGTCTTGAGATGCTCGAGGCTGTAACTGCTTTTGCTGTGGGGAAGCAGTGAGACAAATCTGTGCCTATCTTTTTGTCTGGGGATTGGTAAGGCAGCTGTGAATCATCCTTGGGATCCCTCACTACTGCTCTGTGTTCTCTACTACTTGTTCTGTCAACAAACCCTGCCATGATACCACTTCTGCACTCCTCGCAGCAGAGGCCTGGCCTCTATCCTAAGCCATTCCCAGGTTCCACCCACAGGACACCATATGTTTCACCTGACAAGACTTCTAAGTGCCTGGAAGTTGGTTTGGAAGAAGGCAAGTTGAAGGCAATGCTTTGGAATTCAGCAGTATTCCCTGGTCACAAGGCCCCATAGCATGTCCTTATATCTTGAGCCCAGGCTGAAGCCCCAGGAACAGCAGCTTTGTTCGAGCACCTGCCTGAATACCCTTCTCAGCAAGGACAGATCTAGAAGTGTGGTGAAACATTGGTCTGCAGTGGAGGAGCAAACCTAGAGTCTTGCAAAGAATCAGCTCTGGATCCAGTAGAGGGGAACAGGGTAAATATGGTCTACATGCCCATGCTCTTATTCTTCAGCTTCAGCTTAACACCAGTCCTTCACTTTCTCCCTTACACTGCAGCACACTGAAGCACAGTCCATTACACAATTGCTGTCTTTCAACCCAAAAGCAGCTGTAATTTAGCAACAGATGAAGTTATCCACACAAATATTCAGCCAAATGCATGAAGACACTTCAGCATGAATCTGTCCTATACAGAATATAATTTATTATTGTTTAAACAATACGTAATTGGCAACTTCAGCCATCTACCAGATATCAGCAAGTCACAAGAGACAGTTTTATGGAACATCAGACTTCCTGCCAGAAGATTAATTATCAAACATTGGGAAACTCTTCACAAAAGCTGGAATGGTTGCACGCAGATATGGACAACACAGCACACCAGCCAGCTCTGAGAAATGGTATGTCAAATGAACAATGGCCATGAGATAGTCTCAGGTAAGCCCCTCCTGCTGGTCAGATCCATACTTCCTGCCACAGGTAAACAACCACACAAGGTGCAGTGTGATCACAACGCTGCAGTAAGTGCATGGGATGTGCACATTTGGCATTGCTCTCTCCTTCCAAGTCAATTGGTTACGCTACCAAAGACTCTCTGTTAATGACGAAGCTAATGTAATTAACCTTTGCATGCTGTTTGTAATCAGCAAACAAGTACAGAGAGCCACTGGGTTTGGGTAGGGCATGCAGGCACAGCCCTGTGCTGAGACACAATGCCACTTAAGCAGGCACCATGCCTTGTGGAGCACAGAGGAGCAGATGGGAACATAAGCTCCAAAGATACTGCAAGGTCTAATCCTTGCAGTGCCTGCCCAAAGGCCTGCTTGAGTTCAGTAAATTCTAGTCAATCAGTTCTCTTGCTAGAATATCATGGGGAACACACACAGACTTATTGGAGGCAAATATATTTACTGAGCTGTTACAAACATGGGGACATTTTATGGGTTGTAATTCTTTTTCTTTCCTAATTGGAAACCTCCTCTCTTCCTTTTTCATCCTATACCAAACAGGTGGCTGCAATACTAGAATATTTTTCTTTACTTTTTGAGCAAATCTTTCTGAAAAATTCCTCCTCATGCTTTTCTAATGAAAATTCAACATCTTGCCCCCAAAACAGTGCTCTCTGCCCTCTGTTCCAGAGTAATGACAACATTTCAGACAGCTTTAGCTACTTCAAGCCTGAAAGCTGTACGCACATGAAGTGCTTTGTCTCCCAGTTCTATGACATGAGTCAGAACGTGAAAGCCCAGATGAGCAGACAAGGTGCAGAGCAGCATATTAATCATCCCAGTACAGAGCCTATGCTGACCCCACTCAGCATCTAGAAACCCCTACTTCACAGAAAGTATGGTCTGAGGCTTAACAGCAGCCATGGCAAAAGCACCTCTGATAGCAGCCTCTTGCTCCCTATACTGACAAATCACCACATGCCCAGACAGTCTGCAGAAGGCCCCAACCTTGGGTACCTCTTTCACGGAGGCACTTAGCTTCTGACTCAGTCAATGAAAACAGGTAGCTGTGTTCCTCTGGATACATAAGGTCTTGATCTCTATGCTCAGAAGCACGAGGCAGAGTTACAAAGGGAGATTTAGGTTAGATATAAGGCAGAAGTTCCTCCCTGTGAGGGTGCTGAGGTGCTGGCATAGGGTGCCCAGAGAAGCTGTGGCTGCCCCACCCCTGGCAGTGTTCAAGGCCAGGTTGGACACAGGGGCTTGGAGCAACCTGCTCTAGTGGAAGGTGTCCCTGCCCATGGCAGGGGCTTGGAACTGGATGAGCTTTAAGGTCCCTTCAACCCAAACCAGGCTGTGATTCTATGACAGCAATCCTTGGACTAGTAGCAAGTCTGTCATTTTTACAATCTACAATAATGCTGCAAACTTCTATCTTCCTCTTCTTTGAATCAATCAAGATCACGCTCCTGGAGTGCTCTGAAGATACAACCTTACATTTTGAATGTTCCCTCCATGGCCATATGCTCCCCAGCACAGAAGAGATCTCTTTCACAGACATTCTCTCCAAATCACTCAAAAATGAGAAAACACAGCTTCTGCTGCCACAGTAGCATGTGGAGAGGAAATTAATCCATCAGGTCCTCCTTGACTTTTTGATGTGACAAGATTTATTGCCCATAATCTATCACCAAGAAGAGAACTCTGGTGCCCTCCATCATTCTGCTTTACATTAAACAGTTGCTTGTTGGCAGGTATATTAACACAGTCAGTGATTAGTGCTGTCAAAATGCTTAAATTATTGCCTCCTAATGCAAAACTCTGCAATCGGATTCCCCTCCACAGCACTTGAACATTCTCACCACTGAGGTCATTTAAAAACTGATCCTCAGAGTACTGGTTTCTCCAAAGGAGAGCAGAAACTGGGAAGTGCAAGGCAGCTGGGCAAAGACAGCTATGAACGACTGCAGGAAAAGCTCAAGCACCAGCAACCTCAGAGCTGTCTCACATCCCCAGGGACATATCCCTCTCCTAACCAAAACCCTTATTCCTCTGGGCAGATTGCCTCCACTCAAGTAGTTCAACAAAAGCACTGGCAGTATTTGGCTGCCATCTTCAGTCAGCCACTGGCTTCTACCCCTCAAGAGAGAGTCATGCAAGGTTAGGCACAAGGCTGATCCTACCTTTTAGCTGGAAACGGCACAGAGTTTAAATGCGTCCTTAACTGTGGTATGAGCCAATGAATGTCATAAGAGATGGGTCATGACCAACTTGGAAGCCAAGTTCCATTACTCAAAAGGCTGCAAACGGTTCAAGCCTCTTTGTTTGATCAGGGCACTGCAGGAAGAACAAAGACAGCTCTTCTGCTCTGAATCAGCAACGGCTGCATTTCAATGGGAGGTGATCAGATCCCTACATACCTCACTATCATGGTTATAGCAGTCTTTAAAGTTGCTCATCACCACAAATTCTGTAACACAAGAAGACTGCCTGAAGTCTCTTCATTAACTATCTCTCTCTCTCTCTATATATATATCCCTGGAGGTGGAGGATTGACCCTGGTTGGATGACAGGTGCCTACCAAAGCCGTTGTATCACTGCCCTCCTCGACTGGACAGGGGAGAGAAAATGCATCAAAAGGCTTGTGCGTCACGATAAGGACAGGGAGAGATCACTTCCCAATAACCTTCACAGGCAAAACAGACTTGACTTGGGGAAATTAGTTTAGTTTGTTACCACTCATATCAGAGTAGGGTAATGAGAAATAAAACTAAACCTTAAAAACACCTTCCCCCACATTTCCCTTCCTTCCAGGCTTAACTTTACTCCCCCATCCTCTACCTCCTGTCCCCGCAGCAGTGTTGGGGAATAGGAAATGGGGGTTGTAGCCAGTTCATCACACGTTGCCTCTGCCCCTCTTTCCTCTTCAGGGGGAGACTCTCCCTCTGCCCCAGCATGGGGTCCCTCCCATGGGAGACACTCCTTCACAAGCTTCTCCAACACAAGTCCTTCCCACAGGCTGCAGTTCTTCATGAGCTGCTCCAATGAGGGTCCCTTCCATTGGGTGCAGTCCTTCAGGAACAGGGTGCTCCAGCCTGGGTCCCCTGCAGGGTCACAGCTCTGGCCAGCAAACCTGCTCCAGCGTGGGGCCCCCACAGGGCCACAGGTCCTGCCAGGAGCCTGCTCCAGCACAAGCAATTGCTCCTGCACTTCAGCTTTTTCCCTTCTTGAAAGCATTTTCACAGAGGCAACCACCACTGCTGTTGGGTGCAGCCTTGGCCAGTGGTGGGTCTATCTTGGAGCCAGCTGCACTGGTTTTCTTGGATATAGGAGAAGCTTCTAGCAGCTTCTCACAGAAGCCACCTCTGTGGCACACACACAGCCCATGCCAAAACCTGGCACACAACACACTGGACTAGAGTATTTTCTGCATGCTTGCATCAGGACCCTACAAGCTTGGAAAAAGCAGCTTTCACATTTTAACAAGCTCCCAGACAAGTTTTGGTGCTTATCTTTCATTTGCTTTTGGCTTACCCAGAAAGACCAGTGTTGAATACGACTTCCCCTGCTGTGGAGGATGGATAGCCAAAAGAATAACCCTTCATCTTCATCCCATCTTCCAGCACCAAGTTCGCAGTCTGCACCTACAGAAAGACACATGAAGAGACTCAAACACTGGAAGAAAAGGCTTGATGTTTATAGAGGTAACACCCAAGACACCTGCCTCTCATGCCTTGCCCTCTCCTATTCCAGCTGCCAAGATACAGTCTCCTCTACTAGTCTCCTGATGCTCTTTTTCATTCCAACACTTAGGACACATGGTGCTCCTAATGAGGGCAAACCTCAGCGCAAGCAGAGCGTGTGCTGCTATCATTGTGGGATCACCCTTCCATATCACTTTGTTCATTTCTTCCACCCATTACATCTTGCAATTAACCAGTATCATAACTCTGTAGAGAAAGGATCACCTCTGCTCTTGGTGTTTGCTCAAGGCTTGCTGCTGAGCACGCTGGCTCTCATCCAGCTGTGACCTTTGAAAGGTGCTTAACTTCTGCTGCAGCTGTACAGCTAAGCTGCTCAAAACGCTTAGTTGGACTGGTGTGAGATGGCAAAATTCAAAACACCCAGTCTGTTCTGCTGTAGGACACCAGAAGAGAGGAACTTCTGGATGAGACAGACACATATGGCCTCAGTTACCTCACAGACAGGTATAATTGTCCTGGAAGAGGACAAGATGGAACAAGCAGCCTAGAAGAAAGCTTCACATAAAGCTGCACCTCTTGCAGAGAGATTAGCAGAACAGAGTCCCACACTGACTGAGTATTAAACCTCACAGGTTTAATACTATTTTACAGCTGAGGAAAATGGGACGTGGAGAATGACTTTTGTAGGAGTTAAGAGATTCAGTGTCTTTGCACACACCAGACTAAACACCCTCCCACTTTTGCCTCATTTTGAAGGTAAACCTTTCTTAGCCTGTCCAGGAATTGGTTGGGAAACCACCTGGTAACTCCAGCTTCCACCAAAGAGTTATGAGTACATGTGCACCAGAAATGACAGAATGAGCTGGGAGATTCCTTCAGACAGCAGGATCACTGGGGACACGGGAGGGAGACAGAAAGAAAAGCTGGAAATAGATCTGCCAATGAATTGCTGGGCTTAAAAGAACTTGGAGGATGAACCTTTTGGACCCTGAGAAACTTCCCCTTCTGGAATTCCAGTGCAGCTGCCTCCTGGGCATGGAGCTGCAGTCACAGAGTGACCCCCAGTGCAAAAACCCACAGGAGATGTGCCAAGCGTGTCCACCAGGCAGCAGCTCTCACCATGATTTAACTTCATCTCAGGGTTGGTTTTTTTACAGAACAATTCCTCTTACTGGGCTTTTAAGAAGAATCAAGATCAATTTGCTGTAGAAAGGAGCAGGAGAACTACTTTCCATTACCCATAAATCAGATGAACAATCACAGCACGGAGAAATTTCATTCCCAGCATTGAACATTTTGTAACAATCATGGCAAACATTCATCTCAAGCTCCTCTGCAGTTACAAATACTGCACAGATCAATTACTAATGTACTGAAAAACATACTAAAAAATCAAACTGCACCACCAAGTAATTGAGTTCTGTGCATCTGGGATGCTTTTAGCCTTGCATTTTTTCCTCATTAATGTCAAACATCCAGGCATTCTCAAAAGGTCCAGAAATCACTTTCTGAACCTTCCCACACTATTGGATGGGATAGTCAGCAGTGCCAAAATCCAGTTCAAGCAAGTCCTGCCCCTCATTGGCACAAGTTAGGGTAATCATTTGAATCATAGTCCCAACTACAAACACAGTCTGGAAAAATCCCTCAGGAGGCAACATCCACAATAGTGGAATGACCAGAAAAGTTAAGATCAATCTAACTCCTGATGGCCAAAATCCAGAGCAACCAGTGTGACCTCCAGAGCCTTGCTCTCTCTTTAGTACTTGACATGAATCTACATGTCTTCTCCCTCCCACCACAGACCACCTGCCCTTCTACACACCAGACTAGCACAGAACCCATTTCTGTTGAACAGAAACCGTCATTGTACTATTAGAGCCCCTACACAGTCTTCAAGTAACACAGAACAATGTCCCTGAGCAGCCATAACCTGCCTCCAAGTTCAGCTATAGCAAGGGATAGATGTTCAAATGTTTCCCTCCCTTACTTGATTTATTCTTCTTAATTAAGTGGTTGGTTTGTTTGTTGAGCATTCTAGAAGCAATTATTCCTGCTTAGATTTCTAGCGGAGGTGTTACCATCTCCCCAGGCTGTCAGCCTACCTTGCCTTCGCACTTCTGTTTTAATGGGGAAAGTGATTTACAGGCTGGAGAGAAGGCCAGTTGGCTCAGTCAGGGATTAGCTGGGAGAGATTTTCACTTTCACAAAGCCAACAAGAAATAAACAAAACCCCCCAGAGCTTCTGTGAGGACCTTTTGTATCCAGCCTTCTCAGAAGCATCCCCATATACTCTTGGCTAAGCCCCTGTTGTAGTCTCAACTGGAATGTTTCTTCCACACACACCCCCAAGGTAAGACACTGTTTGCAGCCTGATTTGTCCCTCCCACATGCCGGTAGCTTTACCTTTAGCAGAGCTCCCTGTGCTCCAGAGAGGCTGTAGGACTCTTGAAGAGCTTTGAGGATGGAGATGGCTAAGAGAAAGGGTCATGCTGTCGCTCATTGTTGACCCAGTATTGCTAGATTTGGTGTATTTTGTCAAAGCAGCTTCCAAAGTTAACTAGTTCAGGTCCCACTTCACTAAGTACTTTGTACATGAAATAAACACTGTAGCAGTTCAAAAAAACCCCAAAACAATAAGTAACAAACCAGATTAACTTAGTTCCAGTTAGTTTCCTGCCCTTCCCATCTGCAGGATGGATGATGGAGATTTGCAACATCACAAAAGATCTGCAGTATGATTTACTTTTTAAAGTATGTCTGCTATAACCCCCCGTACTGGAAAGTGAACAGGTTATTTCTCCTCTTTTCTACTTGCTTCACAAAGTAACCAGCCAAGGAAGTCAAGTTTTTCCCCTCCAAATGATTCCCTCAGCATATCTTGGCAAGTCCAAGCCAAACACCGAGGGCTGCACTGCTGCAGGACTGTGTATGCAGAGTGCCAAAGCCAGGATGGGCACTAATGTACAGCAGAGGCACAGCTGGGTCTCAGTTTCAGTGCAGACCCACTTATTTCCCTCCAGTAAGAAGATAATAAAACATCTCCTGTCTAAGGCAGGCCATGATTCCATGCAGCATGATAGCCTCTGCCACATCTCTTGGCACGCAGATCTGGCTGGCTACGTATCAGCCTAAATATCAGAAGCCCAGAAGCACCCAAAAGCCACCAGATTTCTTCTACAGTAGAAAGCTGGTGCCAGGACTGTGCTACATCCACTGTTTCAAGACTTAATAAATCAGCAACAAAAGAAGAGTTTTTCTCTTTGATAGAAAAATGTTTCCTCTTGTGAGTACTCTGCCTTGGCAGGCTGGACATCTGTCTGAATATTGCTAACAGCCAAGACTTCCTTTGCTAACCCTTTTATACACATATAATTTTATCTTGGCACATTTGCTTCTGGCTAAAATTAAGGTAAGAAAGGGAAAGACTAAAGAATGGAGCTTGGGATAAACCAGAGTCACACTTACGCTAACTTTAGGGAGAAGCTTTGAATGAGTTCCTCTACCATCCAAAGGATGGTCAAGACAAAAGACCATCCAACAACAAAGCAAAGCCAGAAATGCAACACAAGCACCACGGTAGAAAAGTTACAGCTCCTACAACTCGACCTCTTCTTAAGGCTGTTCACACCAATGCCACAAAAATCAGAGAGGGAACACAGAGGCACCTCAGAGAATCATTGAGCACCCAAGGAAATGAGCACCCCTCCTTGCCCCCACTGTGGCAGCTCACTAAGTTCCCCCAGTCTCTAAGGGAACAGACCCTGTTTCACCTCCCCTTCACTTTCACCTCCAGAGGAAGAAGAGTCATTTTCTCAGTTACTTTCCACCTGCCTCAAAATAGATTTGAAAGCCCCTTCTACAGTAACCCGAAATAGTTTCTAAAGCCAGTGCTCAAAAATTTCCCTCCTCTCGCTTTCTATCTCATTTCTAACTATATTTTTAGCTTGCTCCTGGTGTTTTTTATAGCTCTCCCAATCCTCTCCTTACTGAGCCAGCTATACTGTTACAAGCCACCTATTTATTGCACATACTACTCTTTACATCCCCACTTAACTATATTGGCCTCAGAAGAGCATTAAATGGTAGGAGCTTTGAGCTGCAGTCTCTCCGCCCATTTCTGAATTAGCAAGCAGCTTGATTATCCCCACACTGATGATGCTAAGCACCCCTTCAGAGAGCCTGTAAGGCTCTATGATCTGCTGTCCATGCCCCTCTTTCACTCCTGGATGCTTCATCTCTCCCTTACAGGAGGGTGAAGGATGGGATGCAATAGGGAAATACGGACCTGCGTGTGCCCACATCTCAGACTACTCACCTACAGTTGTGTTTCCCCACACGGGCTGAATTAACTGGACAGAAAACAGACTTGGGAAAAGAATTATAAGGCTCTCTAATAAAACTACCCTCTCTCCTGCACGCTCTCTAATACTTTACTTAGCTTATGCATCGGTTAGAAACACATTTCCATTGTATTTTGTTATGCTCCCTAAAATAGGCCACTGAGAAAAAGCAGTAAAAGGCAACTAAAGTTCATTTAAGCCTGCGATAATGGGAGAACGGGATCATTACCTGTACCATCATCAGCCCACACACCTTAACTACTCTGCATTTCACTCTGTTTCCAAACTTCTTTCAAATATCTGTTACCTCTAATGATGGCTGGAAACCTGAACCCAGCCATAAGTCGCTACTTGGTCACTTGCCTCACAAGTACAGTTAACTTCCACACTTTGACACAAAGTCATGCAATAAGTTGGCTTTTTAGGACCTCTTCCTTAAATTTGCTCTCAGGCCTGCTGCTTTATTGCTTGCATTTATGTATTACAAAGTCTCTTGCACTTCTGCTTCCATGGCAAAAAAGTATATAAGCCAGTCACTGTCTTAAAGCAAAATCCCCAGGCCAGGAAAGGTTCATGGCTTTGTATTCCAGATTCTGA